GCTTGCTGTAGGAATAGAATGAAAACAATATTTCTTAAATGCATTACTTATGATTTAACATAAAAGAAATATATGGTGATAATGTCGAATAAAATATTGGCAACATTTTATTAATAAGATTTGTACTTTTTATTAAAAATGAAAAATACACATATAAGCCATATAACGTAAGAATGCAGTAAATGATTAAATTATAAGGATTAAATACTTGGGTTTAAGTGGCTTAAAAATTTGAAATACTAAGTTCGAGTGTTGAAATTCCTGTAAAGTTATTTTTAAGCAATTAATAAATAAAATTAATAAATTAAAAATTTCTAATTAAAAAATATATGTTTTGAATAATGTTTTTATTTAATTGTTTAAAATAATAACCAGTTATTAAGAAACCAAAAATAAAAAATGAATTTTTGTCAAATGTTTCATATTTATTGAAAACTACAAGAAACGTTAAATTAACCCTTTAACGTCAAAATTGCTGTTCGTCACCGCCTTCGATAAAATAATGCCGCAGTTGATGGAAACGACAAAATATATTTCTGGATATCTATATCGGGCTATTTTCGATAAAATATTATATATTTTACGACCTTCCTTGCAAATACATGCAGTCACGTACAATACATATAAGCCTGTGTGCGTTTTGTTTATCTCCGGTGGTATGTACAACCGTACCTTCGTGTCTCACGTTCGGCCGGCTTCGGCAGTTTTCGTACATTTTGGCAAAATTTACCGATTGGTTGAACGAAAATCCACTGCGCATCTCCCTTCGTGCTACACCTTGTTTCCTTACACCATGGAGTACACCACTGAATAGATTGGGTTAGGTTATTTTTAACAGTAGTGGAGCCCCCCGCAGGAAGGCGGAACCTACTGCATCCACGTAGAGTTCCTCTAGTAAGAGTTAAGCCATCAGCCGGAAGCCGCCATTTTCTGGGACCACCCGACGCGCGAAGATTGAAACTGCATATTACGAATGAATTCGAAAGTGAACAGAATGAGAGTTATCATATAGGAATTGACTAGTGCAGATGCTATTGTTTCTCTTAGATGATATTCTATTAGCATAATACAAAACTTTCATCGTACACATTGAGTTTATATCTCAAATCTAGCTTAGGTTATTAAACCGTCTTTGTTCTTTATTTGATTTTACATTACCACTATCAGATTTCAAGTATATGAACTCTGTAGAGAATGTTTGTGGGTCTTTAATTTGAAATAGGTAATGAATAATTTGACGTAAATATCTATTAATTTTAACAGGTATCTTACAATTTATTAGTATATCACATAAACATTGCAGATTTCAAAATAAAAACTTCATTGCATAGAATGAGTTTATATTCGAAATCTTTCTTTTTGTTTTGAAGCCTTCAGTATAGCATATGTGATAAATTTTTTATGTAAATAATTATTAGTTTGAACAAAAATCTTATAGTAGTTGCAATGAAACATTCATCGCAAAGCGATTTCAGATTTCAAATTATCACCATTTAGTAAATCTTATTTAGTGAATCTTCTTTATTTATGCGTAAGGTTCAGCATTTCCAGATTTGAAGCGAAATGATTTTCTAATTCTAAGTTTATGTACTATATATTAGTATTCATATAGAAATTCCAAGTTACATTCAATTCTCTGTATTTTTTAATAATAAATCAAAGAAAATAATGATAATTTTGTGATAAGGAAACAGAATTCGGAACATAAAACTTCGATCATAGATCTTACCAAGTAAACGAGTCAGTTTATTAAAATAATTTT